AACTGAATTTTCAAAGCAGAAAATTACTTTATCAAGGACTTCCTATGCTTTGAATGTGCAGTCAGAGCACGGTGATTTGTTGACTATAGATGTTTATATCTCCTTGGTACATCGGACATTTTGATAAATGACTGATGAGACTTGGCACCTCATGGCCCTATTAGGCCAAATGTCTCCTGGACCCCTTTTGATAACCCTTCAGCCCACTGCCAATGTGGTGAAATATGGGATAATGGCCACTTGTCAGATCCCTACCCAGTATTAGAAGACTAAACTTATTAATCTTGTCTTTTATTTCTTGTTTTCTATATCTTTCAGTGCCACTGTGGAAAGTAGCAAAGACGGGTTTAATTTTGCTCTGGGTTGATGTTGCTATAGTAATTTATTTTTACATGCATTTTTTAATATTCACATCTGTTATTGCAATGTGTGAATGCTCTCAGTTGTGGTATATATTACTTGTGGTAAACTGCTAAAGAAAAGATAAAAACTGAAACTTCTTAGTATACTAGCTTACATCAGATGCCAAACAACAACAGTGAAATGATCTCTAAGTATTTTAAAAATATTGACTCTGAAAAGGCAGTGTTTACAGCAAAAAGCCTGCACGGACATACTATACTCAACAGAAAAACTACATTACAATGTCCCCTTAAAGTTATATTGCAACATGGATGTATCCAAAGCAGGGTTGTTAAATGGGTAAGGCAGTGGATGAGTGACAGGCAACAGAGGGTTGTAATCAATGAAGTGTATTCAAAGCATGGGCTTGTCACCAGTGGGGTACCTCAGGGATATGTACTTGGACCCATTATCTTTAATAATTATATTAGTGATGTTGCAGAAGGTCTTGATGGTAACGCATGTCTTTTTGCTGATGATACTAAGATATGTAACAGGGTTGATGTTCCAGGAGGGATAAGCCAAATGGCAAATGATTTGGGTAAACTAGAAAAATGGTCAGAGTTGTAGCAACTGACATTAATGTGGATAGGTGTAAAATCATGCATCTTGGATGTAAAAACCCAAGGGAGAGTACAGAATATTTGATAGAGTCCTAACCTCAACATCTGACGAAAGAGGTGATTATTTCTGATGACTTAAAGGTAGGCAGCCAATGTAACAGAGCAGGAGGAAATGCTAGCAGAATGCTTGGTTGTACATGGAGAGGTATTAGCAGTAGAAAGAGGGAAATGCTCATGCCATTGTACAGAACACTGGTGAGATCTCACTTGGAGTATTGTATGCAGTACTGGAAACCATATCTCCAGAAGGATATTGATACTTTAGAGAGAGTTCAGGGAAGGGCTGCTAAACTGGTTCATGGATTGCAGGATAAAACTTACGAGGAAAGGTTAAAGGAACTTAACATATATAGCTTTGAGGAAAGACGAGACAATGGGGATATGATAGAAACATTTAAATACATAAAGGGAATCAACACAGTAAAGGAGGAGACTATATTTAAAAGAAGAAAAACTACCTCAACAAGAGGACGTAATCTTAAATTAGAGGGGCAAAGGTTTAAAAATAATATCAGGAAGTATTACTTTACTAAGAGGCTAGTGGAGGAATGGAATAACCTTCCAGCTGAAGTGATAGAGGTTAACACAGTAAAGGAGTTTAAGCATGTGTGGGATCGGCATAAGGCTATTCTAACTATAAGATAAGGCCAGGGACTAATAAAAGTATTTAGAAAATTGGGCAGTCTAGATGGGCCCAAATGGTTCTTATCTGCAGTCACATTCTATGTTTCTACGTTTCCAATAGATAAAAAAACAGTACACATGGAAATGTGACACTGTTTTCTCATATAACATAACTATGGAAGTAATATATAAAGAGCAACTTGGATGCATAATTAATTAGAGCAATAGTCATACAGTTGCAAGAAAAAGTATGTGAACCCTTTGGAATGATATGTATTTCTGCACAAATTGGTCATAAAATGTGATCTGATCATCATCTAAGTCACAACAATAGACAATCACAGTCTGCTTAAACTAATAACAGACAAAGAATGAAATGTTGCCATGTTTTTATTGAACACACCATGTAAACATTCACAGTGCAGGTGGAAAAAGTATGTGAACCCCTAGACTAATGACATCTCCAAGAGCTAATTGGAGTGAGATGTCAGCCAACTGGAGTCCAATCAATGAGATGAGATTGGAGGTGTTGGTTACAGCTGCCCTGCCCTATAAAAACACACACCAGTTCTGGGTTTGCTTTTCACAAGAAGCATTGCCTGATGTCAATGATGCCTCGCACAAAAGAGCTCTCAGAAGACCTACGATTAAGAATTGTTGACTTGCATAAAGCTGAAATGGGTTATAAAAGTATCTCCAAAAGCCTTGCTGTTCATCAGTCCACGGTAAGACAAATTGTCTATAAATGGAGAAAGTTCAGCACTGCTGCTACTCTCCCTAGGAGTGGCCGTCCTGTAAAGATGACTGCAAGAGCACAGCGCAGACTGCTCAATGAGGTGAAGAAGAATCCTAGAGTGTCAGCTAAAGACTTACAAAAGTCACTAGCAAATGCTAACATCCCTGTTAGCGAATCTACAATATGTAAAACACTAAACAAGAATGGATTTCATGGGAGGATACCACAGAGGAAGCCACTGCTGTCCAAACAAAACATTGCTGCACGTTTACAGTTTGCACAAGAGCACCTGGATGTTCCACAGCAGTACTGGCAAAATATTTTGTGGACAGATGAAACCAAAGTTGAGTTGTTTGGAAGAAACACACAACACTATGTGTGGCGAAAAAAAGGCACAGCACACCAACATCAAAACCTCATCCCAACTGTGAAGTATGGTGGTGGGGGCATCATGGTTTGGGGCTGCTTTGCTGCGTCAGGGCCTGGACGGATTGCTATCATCGAAGGAAAAATGAATTCCCAAATTTATCAAGACATTTTGCAGGAGAACTTAAGGCCATCTGTCTACCAGCTGAAGCTCAACAGAAGATGGGTGTTGCAACGCTCAGGATGTATCTTACCGCCGAGACATTGTCCATCCGGAGCAAGATGCAGCAGTTGGATCATTCCTTCGCCAGGCTGCGTATGGCGAACGATCCTGACAGGAGCTCCAGACAGTTGATGTGCATCGAAAGTTCTTGGTGGGTCCATACTCCTCCCATTGAGGAGGTTCCGTCTGTTGCTCCCCAGCCTGAGCGGCTGGAATCTGATGCCAGTAGATACTGAGATAGGAGAGGCTCCTTTCGTGCACCGGGATGGTAAGGTATGCGTCTTTGAGGTCTAGACGCGTGAACCAGTCGTTGTCTCAAAGCAGGTCCGGGAGAAAGTGGATACTCTCCATTTTGAAATGGCGGTACACCACGTGGGAATTGAGCCCCCTGAGGTTGACGACTGGGCGAAATTCCCTGGTTTTCTTCCTGACCAGTTAGATGTTGCTGTAGAACCCAGTTGAGTCCGGAGCTGGTTGGATGGCACCCTTGGAATGTAAGTCTTGCAGTTCCGAGTCTATTAAACAGGCGTCCACCCGCATAAGTTGGATCGGGCATGGTGGAGTCCGTTGGAGCAGAGTTGTCTCGAATTTTATTTGATAGCCCCGCACCGTCCGGAGTATCCATGTGTCTGAGGATAGGTCTGCCCAATTCTGGGAAAAAAAGGGACATACGACTTGCGATATGGCAAGAGGTTAGAGGTAGGGTAGAATTGTGACTAACGTTGGGAGCGTCCTCGGCTGCCACAGCCACGATCTGATCCCCTGAACTAATGGAATCTATGTCGGGTAGAGGAATACGGGTAGAATGGTTGTGCGGGGGCCGGATGGCCAGAAGCGGCTGGTGGCACGGCCCCTCTGCCAACCAGCCCTTCCAAAAACACCTCGGGTGTTAGGGCTGCGGAATACTTCCCGCATTGATGTTTGCACCTTGTTGAGGGACGTAAATATATTAACCCTCTTATTTAGCTCAGTAAGGAAGGCCTCTCCAAACAGCTTGCCCTGTGCCAAAGGGCCCAATTCCTTATCCCCCAGTTCGACAAGTTTGTCGTCAATACGGAAAAGTGATGCTCGGCGCCTTTCCGAAGAGAGGGCCACATTAGTGTTCCTGAGGAAACAGAAGCACCTCTGTGCTCACTCTTGGGTACCATATCTGGAGTAAAGTCATCAGCCCTCTCATAGGCGTCATCCACCATGTCCATGATCCTTGCTAGTGGCCCGACGGCGTCTTGCAATTTGTCTTGAGCTCCTTTAAAGCCGTGTTCCATGCACTTGCGTGGGTCCCGACCCTTTTGGGACATGAATGTCGTTATGAGAGGGTCGAATTTGGCGGTATGTGCTACCTTGTCTGGTAGGATCAGGCGAGGGCATTCTGACCTCATACGTTTCCTCACTTCCTTGTCCAGAGACTTCCGGAGCCAGAAGTGCCTAAATCTGGCCAGGTGTTTGGGTGGTGTCCATTCTTCCGAACGGGGATGGCAAATGTTCCTTGGGTCGAACATTCAGAGGCCTGAGTTGTCTAGGAATATCTCTGAACCCTCTTGTGGGTTATCCATGGTCGTGGCCACGGAGTCCTGGGGCTCACCCAGGGTCTGTTCCCTTACGAGATAAGGGTCAGAGTTGGCAGCGGAGTCCCAGTCGGATTACTCCTGGTCGGAGGCTGCCACCTGCCATTCGTCAACCACGGCAAGTGCATGTGTTGGCCCTGCGTCTTCTTCCCCAGAGGAAGCCTGAGCGGGTCTTTGGGCTGAAAGGCTCGTGGCTGTTTTGCGTTTAGCAGGGGCGTTTCCTTTGGACTTACGTGGTCACATGGCTTCGCCTTTCCAGTGGCACTTAGGAGGGTGGGAGCATTCTCCGGAAGAATCGGAGACCTCAGAATCCGCCCCATAATGAGCCCGCTTGGGGATGGGCTTAGATGCGTCCTGTTCTGAATGGAATGATTTAGCAAAGGCCTTTTCCATAGATGCAGCTACAGCTGCCGCAATCATGGTCTGGAGATCTGAGGGGTTTTGTGATTCTTCCATGGTCTGGAATCAACACTCAGGGCTCACCCGGTGGAATATGCATGAGGGCACTTGGGCACAAATAACTGGAGAGGCCTGGGGACCAGGGGGTGGTATGGTAGTAGGTAATGGTTAACCTGAGAGGATAAGTGACTGGTAGGTCAAGTAAGGTAGTGAGAGGGCTGTGTCACTGGGGCTCACCCAGGAAATCGGAATCCTGCATGGACAGGTCCGTTCAGCAGCACATGAATGGGGGCTCACCCCGGCCAGAATAATGGATAGTCTATGTGTCCATGTGTCAGAGGATAGGTCTTCCCAATTCTGGAAAAAAAAGGGACACACGACCTGCGATATGGCAAGAGGTTAGAGATAGGGTAGAATGGTGACTAACGTTGGGAGTGTCCTCGGCTGCCATGGCCACGATCCGATCCCCTGAACTGATGGAATAGATGTCGGGTAGAGTAATCCGGGTAGAATGGTTGTGCCCAGGTTGTGAGGGGGCCAGATGGCCAGAAGCGGCTGGTGGCACGGCCCCTGTGCCGAACAGCCCTTCCAAAAACACCTCTGATGTTAGAAAAGTATTCCGCGGCCCTAACACCCGCGGTTTAAACCAACCCCGAGGTTTTAAACCAACCCTGAGGCTTAAACCAACCCCAAGTGCAAGGCACTAACCTGACCTGGTCCCACTGTGAGCTATGAGAAGGAGGCAGAGTTCTAGAAGAGTGTTGCAGAGTACCTGGCAGAGAAGTAGCTGGAGTCTGCAACAGAGCAGCAGTGGCCATTTAAAATGGCCACCGGACTGAAAAGCAGTTGAAATGGGGAGGTTTAGTACCTCCCTTAGAGCTAGGGCGGCAAAAAAAGGAATTGCACGAACGCCAGGCAGACCCTGCGTTCATGCTCAGGGAATTGGCCGAATGTGAGCGCCCATAAATGGCGCGGGCATTCTGCGTACGAATAGACGAACATGAGCACCTAATACAAGGTGTTCACGGGGAAATTGCAGAACGATAAGCGTTTGGCAAACGAAACGTACATTCGCGGTAAGATTAATGCAGTTCGTGAAGCAAAAGGACGTGCGAACAACAGTAAAAGGCGGAAAAAAATGCGAAGAGAGGTCTGGCTCTGGGGAGGTGTGGCGAAAACGGCGAGAATGCCGATAAGTCCTCTTGTAAACCGGGTTAGGGGAAAATACAGTAGAAGGGTCCCAAAGCCAGGGGGCCATCCCTGGAGTGAGGGAGAGCCCAGAAACAGAGGGGGTTAGCCCCAGAGAAATGGAGGTCACTAGATTAACAGGAGAAATACAAGCTGGGTAGCAATAGAAATATGATACCAGCTAGAAAATATGATATGAATCACTGTAGGTAAGAAGTTATAAAGGACAGAGAGGAGAACCAAAATCTATACTTATCTTGTGATGGAGCAGCAAAGAAAGAGGAAATTATGTAATATGACACTCCTCTTATACCCTATACTGCATTGTGATTGGTTCTCAGTTTTCACTCTTTTCTTTGCTGCTATGGGAGTTAGTAAAGAAAGATTATTCCAAATACAGTTATAAAGATTATATACAAACCTCTGTAGTTAGCATGTGTTACATTGTCAGCCATCTAATTTTCTGTGCCGACTTCGGATATAGATTAACCTACAACTGAATGATTGGGAATCTACCTTTACGCCACACTTGCCATAGCTGTAGTCCAAAAAAAAAATCTTTTCACTGGTGTGGGTATTGAATGTTTGATAACCCTTTTAATTCCAATGCACATCATGACTACAATAGTTGTGTGTGCTTTATGCAGGTTACTGTGTGTGAACCTTTTTTGCTGAATGAGCTATTTCTACTATGCTTGCTTACTATAACCATGTACTTGTGTTATACCTGATACTGTCTGATAACATCTTCCTGTGTCCTAATGTTTAACATTATGTGAAATTGCCATCTTTTTCACAATGATTGTTAGCTAGCTGTACTGCTTCAAGACTTTTTCTTCAAGTAGGAGACATGTAATACTAAACATCACTAATATTATATTAGGTTATGTGGCCTTTAAACCGCACAGTAAAAGACAAAAAAATAAAAATCTTTTTACATGTCTGGAGTCTGGAAGCAAGAAGAACACAGTTGTCAGATTGTTTGCTTCAAGAACCTTGCTTGCAGATAGTGATAGCACTAAAGCTAATATTAATATGAGATTATATGGATTTTCAGATGAGAAAAAAATGAAATGGCAGCTGATGCCAGAATGTCTGTTAATACATTTGCATGAAAATGAAGAAACATGTAGAACTAGTATATATAATACAGCTATCCAATATGCTTAATATAAACGGTTTTAATTACATGTATTAAATAATAGTTAAAAGTTTATATTTTTTATAGTACCTCCCTAGTATCCTCGTATGTTAAAATAAAATGTAAATTGAAATGTAATATTTGTAGTTTGTCTATCTCTGATTCCAGAGAGCCATGAATTCTCTTGAGTTTATGAATAATTAAAGTTCCTACTATTTAAATTTTATATTCCCTGCAGATAATAAGTGCTGTCACATTAAATACATATTTTTTTTACTGAAACTTGGTCTTTTTAAGTGTTCTCATTGTTTCATGTTATCATTGCCTCTGAAGTATGATAAGTTACTGACAATACAGTTATTGTTAAAGTCATAGCACATCATAAATAAATATACCATTAGAATGTGATTATCTATTCAAACTTCATTTTCAATGTAATAATATTTCACTAGGGAACGGGGGGGTGGAGGTAGAGGATTCTTATGAGTTGCTGATTTCTGCTGTGCAAGCCAATGGTTTGCAACTATAACCAAATCTTGCAGCTTAAGACTGCAATATTATATCTATGTGATGCTATAAATTATGTTTTATATTGGACAAGACTTTATAGTGCTGTCAGTATGTGGAATTTCTCGGCATATGGCGGTACAGCTAGCAGTTAACAATTAAATAAGGGGACACTATATATGCTATAACAATTTCATCTCATTGAATTGTGTATAGTGTCTGGAGACCCCTGACACTGTCTCTCCATTAAAATGTAAACCATCTTTGCAGCAGTTAAAGTGTTTACAGTGCCTCTGACCATCCTGGTCATAAATAATTAAATAATTTCATAATGGTAGCACACGAATTAAAAAAAAAAAAACAACTTATGGGCAGCAGACTCAATACCTTCTTGACATAATGAAAGGTATATTAGTATCTTAAAAAATGGTAACCCTCTCACAGATACAGTCAATCAAGTACATATATGATCAATGCTAAGTATATGAAATCTGCAGACCAATTTTACTGTGTGTCCATTGGGAATGCAGCAAGTCAGAAATTCCTATGTTTTGTGCTTCTTTGTTCATGCTTGTAAATTAATTCTTTTGGGATTTCTACTGCTTTGCTAAGAAGACTGTAAGAAGCAGTACATCATATTTTATATGTATATATAGAGAAATGAAAGATAGATTGTATTGTGCAGAGGTTATTTTTAGAAGACATCCTTTCATTATCTCCTGGAGCATGAAATAGGATTGGATAATAATTGCTGCACTGTATGATCCTGAATATTTTCCTGGCACCAATGCACAGCAAATATGTCAGGGATTAAACTGGCAGCTCTTGTGTGCCAATTTTAATACAAAGGAAAGCATCAAATCGTTTTATACCCAATGTAAACAAAATTCAGTTCAAATTCACTAAAATAATTTAATTATACTTCCACTAAAAATAAGATTTCTGCTTCCTTTCTAACTATACTTGCGTTCTCAGTCTTAATTTTTCTAAATTAAATTGATTTTAAGTAAAAATAATATCAGATCACAGTTTAATACATGCTATGCCAAGCTTTTCTGAGCCTCATCTAACACTTTTTTTTTTCAGTGGTTTTTGGTTTTCAGGGTCTATCCTTCAAAAAAATATTATTAGTAGCCTTTTTAGTAACTGTTTGTTTTCATTAACCCTTTTCCTGTATGGTAAATATAGGTGCATTTTTTGAAAATCACCATTTTATGTGTTTTATAATTTTATTTCATATTAGATATAACATTGTAATTCTTTAACTTCCTCCAACATTTTTGCTGTTCCATATAGTTGCAAAATCTACAACATTCTATTTTGGTTAATACATGTAAACACAAAGATTTAGTAAAAGCTTTTAACCCCTTAAGGACACCGCTTCAAAAGCTTGTCTTGCACTTAATGACACAAGCAATTTTTGCATTTTTTGTTGTTTGCGTTCAACTGCATTTTACTAATTTATTGCACCAACACATATTATATACTATTTTTTTTCAAGGACAGAAAAAGCTTTAATTTGATGTAACACACACACACACACACACATTATTTATACAACTATATATATATATATATATATATATATATATATATATATACACACACTTATTTATTATAAAAAAAACAGAAAAAAAATAAAAATAAACATTTTGTTTTTTTTACAGTTTTTGCAATAATAATGTGTGCATAATGCATAATTAGTGCAGGTTAAGGGAAGTAATTAAAAATACAGAATGTCTGTGTCTAGGATTTTAAGGTTTTTCTTTTGGAAGTTACAGGTCACAAGACACAAGAGAATTTAGAATTTGGTATGTTTGTCTTGTAAGCTTAATAGCCATAAAAGAAAACAAACATGTGACATAAAAGTATATATTTATATAAAGTAGACATCACAGGCTATTTACCTAAGGTTATTTTGACACTTTCTACGTAGCCATTTCATCGCCAATCTTGAAGTAAAATTGTGTGGGTTTTTTTTGTTTTTGACACACAAACTTATATCAAAGAACTTTTCGTGTGTATTTTGTAAAGTTGGTGTGTGCTATTCTTGTACAAAACTTTATTTTGTGTTCAGCTACATCAGCTGAGTACAACGATACCCCCATTATATGTCTTTGGCATTATTTTGTGAAGCTACAGTGCCATATAGGAGACCTGTCCATTTCAGTATTTACAGTAGAATTTTGAGAGATGGATTTAATGGGCCTATGCTTCAATTTGGGGTATTATAGCAGTTTGATTGTTCAAAACCCCCCCACAATGGCATACCATTTGTAAAAGTAGACACTGAAGGGTATCTCATATGGTGCATATTGTATATTTCATTTGTGCCACTAAGTTCAAAGCCCCAAAATTATGCTCAGCTAAGTCTTCTGAGTAAAATGATACCCCCAATTAATGTCTTTGGCATTATTTCATGAAGCTACAGTGCCATATAGGACATCTGTCCA